TGCCTTCAGTTTTAGAACCAAATATGAAATCTCCATGTTCACGGGTTTCCGAGCCCATGACCAATGCATTCGTAGTGTATGATCTCACCAAGACTGTCCCCCTCTTGAACTCTTACTTTTGATTCATGTCATGGTTGGTTGGAAAACATTCTCAAGTACCTCTCTCAAAAGGAATGCATGATGAGAATATTGTCTGTAGCCTTGCACGCTGGAGAATGCCTTCTGCTCATTGTGGCCTGCACACATATGAGACAGTCTAGCTGGGTATAAAATTCCTCGATCACGGACTTTTCCCTCCTCAAGACCTATGGGCTGGCTTCTTTTTGTTGATTTCTAATCCATCTATAATTTTCCCTCATCCTGGTATTTCATATGTTGTGCAAAGATGTGTCTGGGTGTTGGTCTCTCTTCCTTGATGTTTTTCCATAAAGTCAGTGAGCCTTCTCCTTCTGCCTGTTGGTCTGCCTTTAGCTCAGGAGTCCGATCTTCGATCCTTGTTTCTACCCCACTGCCTTCGCTCCCCATCGTATGTCAGCCTCCACATTCTCTCTTATATCCTTACCATTCTCTCTTTCATGGTTTCCATGTCTTTATCCTTTTCTTCTAGAATTTGCGGGAGTTTCCCCAGTTTTTATTCTCTGTGTGTCCGAATCAGGTGTCTCCAGGATCGTTTCTCTTTGCTGCTTCCAGAGTAGGTTTTAACTGTGCTACTGAGTTTTTAGGTTTTGGTTTTTCCAGCTCTTCTTTCTTTCCTGTGTCACGTTCTTTGTATCGTCATATGGCCTCTTCAGCTCAGGCTCGTCTTCCCTTCCGGCTTTCTTCTCCAATTTCACAGAGACCATGTCGTTTTAGATCTTTTTTAGTCTGCCGTGCTGCATTCGGTTACACGTTGTCCGTGGCTGGTGTCAAATCCCAGCAACGGACTTTGAATACTTGTGATACAGACCGTATGGCCTGCAATGCCTAAAATATTTACTGTTTGGCATTTTGCAAAAAAATAAAAAATAAAAATTGCAGATCCCTTTACTAGCACAACAGCTGGATACCCATCTCAGCTGAAAGCTGGATGGCAGAGGAAGAGATGCAGCTCTGGCCCTACTCCCTGGCTCCTACCGGTGTTTCCCCTTGATTCACTTTTGCTCCATGGAGATAGTATCCTTCTATCTGCACCCCCCGATTTCCTCATTCTCTGCACCAGTAATTTTGATAAAAATGCAAGTTCAAATATGCTGTCTGGCCTTCCGGGCCCTACCCTCCCTTAAGCTAGCCCCTCCCTAGAGGAGGGCACCACCCCCAGTGCCCCTGCCTACTTCCTGCCCATTTGTTTTCTGGTTCTTGTCCCTGTGCCGTCTCTTTTTCTAAGATCTTCCCGTGCATCGGACAAAAGGTTGTGTCTTGAGGTAAAACCTCGGACAGGTTTTGCTCATTCCGGCACCATCTGCCTTTAATTAATAGAGATTGCTCCCAGATTCCAACATCGGGTCATCTATCAGTTTGGTTTTTGGCGTGAGTGTGAATTTTCATTTTTCTCATTGTCTTTACAGCTATTTTGGAACCAAACAAGGAGAGGCTCCATGGGTGGCTGCCAAGTAGATATGCCATTTTGAAGGAGTCAGAACTGCATGTAAAAGCTGTGGTTTGTCCATCTTGAGGCAGTTTCTGTGGCTGTGTGTGTATCTGATAAAAGAAGAAAAGGCAGGAACATTTTCCCTATCCAGGGACCACTTGTCCAATGACCTCAGTTCTCTGGAATACACCCAAAACAAAGAGTCCGCAAGCCGCCAGATAGCTGCCACAGTGTCCATGTTCTGGACGCTATTCACATTACCCAAAGGGGAGCCTTTCCATCTCCCTCATTGCAAGCCGATTTACCCATGTTTTATGTACAGTTCTAACAATCTCAGTCTTTGTTTCCCTAGCTCCACAACCAAACTGGAATAGGCAAATCTGAAGGGAGCACGGGACATTTTACAATGAGCACACTGACCTAAGAAGTATTTCTGGGGCACCTGGGTGGCTCAGTCGGTTGAGCGTCTGCGTGCAGCTCAGGTCACCATCCCAGGGTCCTGGGATGGAGTCCCACGTCGGGTCCCCTGCTCAGCGGGGAGTCTGCTTCTCCCTCTCCCTCTGCCCCCCCCATTCATGGTCTCTCTCTCACTATCTCAATAAATAAATAAGTAAAAATCTTTTTTAAAACAGAAGTATTTCTGATGGACAGAAAGGAAAGACACAGGACGCCCCCCCCCCGCCCCCTGCATACAACTATAAATGCTCAGAGGCTAGTGCCGTTTCCCCCAAGAGCAGGCAGCTTAGGGTTCTCTGTGTGAGCACCCTCCAGTGTGAGTCCACAACCACCTTCTCTGAGCCTCTCCTCTGCCAGTCTGCATGCTCCGTGCACCCTGTCCCCACCTCCCATAGCTCCAGGTGCTTCGGACAGTGGCTCCCAGGACCCTGGCTGGCTGCACATCAGGCTCCCCTGGGAAATGTCAAGAATCAGGACATGCAGCCTGCCCCCTAAACCAGGGAAATCAGGTCTTGGGGATGGGACCCGGGCATCGGTGTTTTTTAAGACTTCCAGCTAATTCCGCTGTATGGCCCAGGCTGAGAAGCAGGGCTAATACTAATATGTTTTCGTTGGGCAGGGAATGGATGCCACACATTCTAGGATGATTTCTGTCCCAGGTGGATACTTAGTTCTGGAAAGAACTGCTGTAGATGTCACCAGGAGGGAAGGCAAGAAGTGAGGGCTCGAGGTGCTCTGGGAGGAGGTTGTCACTGGGCTCTGCCACCGTGCCTTTGGCCCCACAGCGTGTGGCTTATGTGCAGCAGGTGTTCTAGAACCTTCCTGAGCCCTGGCTTCCTGGCTTTCAGGCGGGACCAGCAGGGCCTCCCTCGCAGGGTTGCAGAGCCCAGGGCTACAAGGTGCTGTCCCCACCCCCACCCCCGGCTGTGTGCCTCAGGAGGAGGCAGGGCGTAGGTGATTTCCTGCCGACCAGAATGCAGCCCGTGGGCCAACGGCTTCTGACTTGGGTAAAAAAATAACAAGAAGGCGAGGAGCGAGCGGGTTCAAGGCTGTCCCAGGAATCACGTCACCCAGCGCCACTCGCATTCCAATTAGCTTCCCTAAGTGGCGAGAGCAGGGAGGGATCCCAGCCAGCTCGCTCTGGACGGCGGGACTTAACACACAACCTGGATTCGGCCGCGGTGGTGGCTTTGCTGTGCGCGTCATCTGTCCCTGAGCTGGTTGACACATGGCCCAGAGCAGCTCCTCCCCAGCGGGAGGCGGGGTGCCGTGGCCCTGGTGCGGGTACCGCCGGTCTGTGCGTTTGGGCCGCCGTCACCTCGCCTTGACTTTGGCCGCCCTAGAATTCGGGCCGCGGTCTCTGGACGGCCCCGGCCCTGCCTCCCGAGAGGTCCCCCTCCCCCAGTCGCCAGCCAGCCAGCCAGCCACCTGGCAGAAGTCTCTAGCACGGTAGCCTCCCGGTGCCCCTGGCAGGCAGGGTGTCCTGGTGGGGGGCGGGGGGGTCCCCAGGGCTCAGACCACAGGGGAGCAGGAAGGGGAGCTGCTTTTTCCCCCATTTCCTGAGACTGGTTCCCAACTGGGTACCCCTCCCCCTGCCCCCGCCCGGCCCCGGAAGCTGGCTCAGGAGAAGCAGGGGGCTGCCAGGCCCGTGGCCCCCAGGGCAGTGGGATGGAGCTGTTTCGACTTTAACTGAGGCACCAAGTCATTGAATTCCGGGACCTGGTAGGAGGCAGCCACCTCCCACGGGGCCAGAGGCTGACTCTGGGGGGGTGGGGAATTGCTGGAACACGGGGTACTCTTCATTCCCCCGCTCTGAGCTTCGTGCCCTGCTCACATTTGAGGGGATCCACCAGTGTTTGCTGAGACACAGCGTGGCATAACCAAGAGCACAGTAATCAGGCATCCCACGTCCGAGTTCAAAGCCCAGCCTGGGCACCAGCTGTCAGGGATGCCTTGGGCAGGGGGTCTCTGTGTTCTGATCTGCAGAACGGGACTACCACCCCGACATCCAGGAACGGTGGTGAGAATTGAGTGAGGCCTGGCACGTCGGGCAGTGGTGTGGGGCAGGCTGGGGTGATTTCTTGGGCCTCGCTGCCGGGCTGGCCATTGTGCTAAGGGTGTCGGTCCCCCGCGGATCCAGCCGGTCCCGACACCTTGTCAGAAGAGCGGGGAACACTGGCAGGGAGAGGGCCAGGCTGGGCTGAGGTGGGAGGCTTCCTCCGGTGGGTGGACACAGGCCACCCCCAGGAGAAGCAGGCCTGGGGGGGGGGGGGCCCGGGGGGGGGGGGGGGGGGGCTGTGCTTTCCGCCAGGCTCGCGCTCCAGCTTCGAGAAGCCCCCGATGGGCTCCCTGGCGGTCGCAGGCCCGGCAGCCCTGCCTCTCAGCAGTAGGGCCCATTAGAACTGAACAACTCTTCGCAGGGCATTCTATTTGCACACTCCAGTAGAGTGGACACCAAAGGGGTTTTCTAATGCTTCATGGGCTGCTAATTTCCTCCGTGACCTCTTTTGTTGGGGTCTGACCCCAGCCAGAGGCTCTGCGCCATGAAAGCCAGCGCCTGACACAGACCCAGGGCGCGGGGTGACAATGAGACCTCTATCAGCTTTAATCAGGCTCCAGTTGGGTCTTAAGAACGGGGTGGGGGGATTTGTGTGGCGCTCAGAAAGCCCTGGGTGGCACAATACCAGAGCCCCCAGCATCCCTCATGGAGGCCAAGGGGGCTCCAGGCAGCGGCTGAAGGGTTGGTCGGGCCATGGGGCGGGGGGTGGGGGTGGGGGTGGGCGGAGGGGGGGGGGGGCCCTTTGTCCCAAGCGCCTCTTCAGAAGGCCGGGCCTGCCCTGAATGGCCGCCCGCCCGGCCTGGCCCACGGGTATCACAGGCCCCTGGGTATCTGGGGAGGCGGCCTCCCCCTCGGCCCCCAGCCTATTCATCGCCAGCCTAATTAGGTTTTTTTGTCTGTGTTCTCCCTCCCCTGCAGACTGCGGTTCCTACTGCAAGGCCTCCAAAGGGAAGCTGAAGATTAACATGAAAAAGTACTGCAGGAAGGACTATGGTGAGTGCCAGTCCCCTTGTCTGGCGGGGCCCGCGGGGGCCACGTGACCAGCCAGGAGCCAGGCTCGCGGGGTCCCACGCCCAGGGAACTTGCTAGCTCTTCCTCCAAGGCCCTCGGAGGCAACGGGCACGAGGGCTGGGCTCTCTCCCCCTGGCAGGGCCTCCCCTGTGGCTGGGATTCCCAGCCTGGCCTCTGGCCTTCACTCTGCCCTGGGTGGGGGGGCTGTGTGGCCTCAGGCCAGTCGCTTCACCTCTCTGGTTTTCGGTGCCTTCCTCCGTATGATGGGCTTTCAACCTGAGTCTCCCTCCGTGGCTCAACGTGGGGTGGCGTCCTCCAGGCAACAGGAAAGGGGGCGGGGGCTCCATGGGTTTAAAAGCCTTCTCCTCCTTCTGGAGGTTGATTGACTCTGTAAAGGCCGAGGTGAGCTGGGGAATCTGCATTTTAAATGGTTCGCTGAAGTTTGAATGCAGCTTGTGGCGGGGGGGTGGGGGGGAATGGGGGGGTGAGGGGGGCTTGTCCCTGAGGGTGCTTTGCAGCCAGGAGCTGTGGGGCTGACAGCCCTGTCCCTTGAGCCGTCAGGCCTGGGGTGACCCAGCCCCTCGCTCACTACACACCAGCCCCCCTGTGCCCCCTCTCCATTGGGCGACCGTGCCCGCCTTCTGTATGCACTTGCTGGGGGTCACCTCGTGCCAGGCTGCCCCGGGGCAGGTAAGGAGCCGGCTTTGTGGCGTCTGGTCCCTCTGTCCCTCTGGGACCCAGGGGCGCCCAGCAGCCCGGCCTGCTGTCTTCCCGGGGCCGGCCATGGCAACCAGACCGAAGGGGTTTTTCTTTAATAAGGACAAGCGTCAGGCCCGTTTAGCGTAATGAAAGGCATGAGGGAACCCAGAGGAATTTTGGGAACTTACAAAACGTAATCATTGTACCCCATGCGAGTGTGTGTAAGTACACGGATGGATGCACACACGCAACATTAAACACCCCACACTGGAGCCCAGAGCGCCCCCCACCCCCAGGCCGCCTGGCCTGCCCCGGGATGGGGGTGCGTCTGTGGTCGGCCCTGTCCAGACCCCCATGGGGCCCGCAGCAAATTCCCCAAAGCCCCGTTCAAGTGTTTGCACCCGGGACAGTGCAGAAACGTCTGACTCCCGCTGGAAAAAGAACAAGCTTTGAGACAGTTTAAGGATAAAGGGGGTGCTCTCTCTGAGCCCCGGGGACATGCACAAGAGAGGGTTGAGGGCTCGGGCAAGAAGGCCCAAGGGTTCTGTCCCGTTCCCAGGCGCGGGGCCTGGGGTTCAAGCGCGGGCTGTCTGTGCAGGCCTGGAAAGCCCGGGGTCGTAGAGAAGAACCCTGCCCAGAACGGGGGGCAGGGGGAAGGAATGGTGGGTGTCCTTGGGGAAGGATTGCTTCGAGTTTTGTCTGGAAGCATCCTTTGGTGGACGCCTGAGAGGGGCTGGAAAGGGAGGGCCAAGCGGTCCTTCTGGGAGGGGTTGGCCTGCAGCCCCTGTTCTGTTCTAAAAGTGAAGAAAGGAGAAATTAGGCTTTTTAAAAGTTACCAGAATAGCTCCTGCGTTCCACCTGGTTCTATCGGACTTGGCTTCATTTTGTTCTCTTCTCTTCTTTTCCTCCGTTGAATTCGGCTTCCCTGACCCCCAGTGTTCCGGGGGTCCCTTGTTCTCCTCAGCGGGTACCTCCTCCCGTACCAGCAGGCAGGCTGAACACCCTCTTTTTGCCGAAGGGGGCCGGACACCCTCTTTTTTATGAACTCAGAGGGGGCCCACAGGCTTGTTCAGGAAGGAGGGGGCGGCCCCCCGGGGCCGGGCAGGGGCCCACCGGTGCAGCCGGAGGCCTTGCTCTGGGGCTGGGGGGTGAGGTGTCATGATCGGGTTCGCAGGACTTTGTAGAGAATCGTCCCTGCATTCCGTTGGGACCACTGACCCCCGGATAACATGCGAGTGGGGGGCGTCCCTCCCCTCCTGACGAGCAGGCACAGGACAAGGAGGGAGCTGGCGTGGGGGTCTGCAGGGAGGTGAGGCGGGCAGAGCGGGCCAGGCCGAGGAGGCTGGGGGCCGGGCTTCTGAGGGGCTGCATCATCTCTGCTCTGACTGACACCCGGCCGGGAGCCAATTAGAAGACGTAAGCAGTGCCCTGGGTGTTCCAGAAGCTGCTCATGAGCACCCGGGTTTACTGCCCCTGCCAGGTGAAGAGCAGGCCCCAGGCCCCCTTCTTCCTGCTGGGGACGTGGAGCTGGGTGCCCGCTGACCTGAGCAGCGGGCGGCAGGGGTGCGCGGGTGAGTCCCGTCCTGTGTTCGCTCTGGTGCGTTCCCGACGAGGGGCCCGGCGCGGGTAGGGCTGGGGTGGGCACCAAGCAGGGCAAGGAGGACTGGGGTCGGGGGGGGGGGCCTCAGGGCCAAGCCCCGCCATGCTTCTCACATCCCGAAAGCGCCCCAGGCAGGGACGGGTGGCTCACTGTATTCCCGTCTGCAGGGAAGGGGCCCCCCAACCTGGAGGCACAGACCCCTAACGTGCTGCGGGACTTTGGGCAGGAGCCTCACCGGCCTGGGCCTCGGTTTCCTGTCACATGGAGGTGTCATCCAGGGGACACGACGTCCTTCTGGGTGAGACCTGATCTGCTTGGGGCAAGGGTGCAGGGTGAGGCCGTGGTCTGCGGCCACCCGGCCCTCTGTTGCCCTCGAGGGGACGCCGCCAGCGAGCTGCCCATGAGGGACAGTTGTTTGCATTATTGCCCAGTGTCTTAGTGATGCCGACCAGCTCCTGGGGGACCCCTCGCCTGGGAGGGGCCCTGCCTTGGTGTGAATGCCCCGGTGGGTGCTCGTGTGACGGCGTGCATGAGTGTGCACGTAAGGGTGTGCACGTGGAGGTGTGATTGTGCGAGCAGGTGCGTGTGTGCTCATGGGTGTGCGTGAGTGTGGGTGTGCGAGTGGGCTTGTGTGGGCAGGCGTGTGTGCGTGTGAGCATGGTGGTATGCACATGTGGGTGTGCATGCGCGCGCACACACGTGTGTGTCAGTGTGTGAGTGTGCACACGTGCCCGTATGTATGTGACCGCAGGTGTGGGTGTGCTCGTGAGTGCGCACGCGTGTGTCACGGACGTGCGTGAGAGTGTGTGTGTGTGACCGAGTGTGATCCGTCTTTGCACACTCATGGAGCACCTGCCGTGTGCCCTATCCTGACTTGAGTGCTGAGCCTATGGATAAGAAGGAGACGCTGGCTTAGCCCTCAAGGCCCTTACAGTCTAGGAGGGGAGGACACACAGACGAGAGCAGGGAAGGTGGACCAGCCTGAGGTCCAGAGACTGGTTCTCCAGAGAGGGTGTGGAGGGAGGGCTTCCTGGAGGAGGGGGCCCCCAGTAGCCACTGCTCACGGGGCAAAGCAAGGCTCCCAGGCAGAGGGAGGAAGGCCTCGGGCACAGAAGTGGAAACAGGCTGGGGAAGCGGGTGCTGGGTTCGGGAGTGTGGGGGCCAGGGAGGCTGGGGAGAGGCCCATCTGGGCCTCAGCAGCCACAGCCACGGCCACGTGCACAAACCACCCTGGGCCCACTGAGAGCTGCCTCCTGCCTCTTCCTTCTCCCTGGGATTCGAAAGTGGGGGGCAGACAGACAGCTCACATTCTGAAAGGTAAGATCATCTCACTTTTGCCAGTTCTTGGAAAAAGTATTCGTTCCCAGAAATGTTTATTAGTCACCCCTTTTGTTGAAAGACATTTTGGCACCGCCAGATGGAAAAATCAAAATGCTTTTCACAAGATGATTTGTGTCAAGAAGGCCTCCTGAGGTCCCACAAGGATTATTTCTGGGGTACAGCTCAAAGGGGAGACTCTGTTGGCATCTGTGGGGAGAGACGGGGCTCGCCAGGCTTTGCAAGCGTGTGCGCGCGTGCACTCCTGCTTTCTCGGGGGCCCCGTGGCAGAAGTGGGCTGGGACCTACGCGGAGCTGTCATTCACACCGACATCCCCCCGTGCGCCCCGGGACCTCCTGCGGTCTCGCCAGGCCCGGGGTGGGGCACCTCACTGCCTTCCTTCCCGTCCTTGCTGAACCCACACGAACACCTGCCCGCGATATGCTGAGACTCACCGAGATCCAGTAACGTGCTCCAGACCGGGGACTCCAATGCTTGAGAGGCTTCTCCTCCCCCGGGCCAGGGCCCGGAGCCTCTGGCCACATAGCGGGGGGCACAGCTGTCCCTTAGAAGGCTCAAGAACGCGTCTCCCCCCACGGGACCCTTGACTCCCCGTTCCTGGTAAGCCAGACACATCGTCCTTGGGAAACCGGCAGGTGTGGTCCCCGTGGTATTGGGGTGACGTTTAGAGATGATGGAGCCAACGTGGCAGACGTTGTGACCGGGCCTGGGAGGGGGCTGGCGAAGGGCATGGCCGTGTGGGGGAGGGAGGTCACGGGCCGATCCCCGATGGGGGGTGGGTGCCGCCGCCAGCGGTGGGAGTGCCCGCGGATTACCGTGGAGCTGGTTGGGGACGGCGTGTCGGGGCCTGGCCCTTGCCTGGCTCTCGTCCAGCTACTCAGGCTGGAGATCAGATGGGGTCGGGGGAGGCTCCTGACTCAGGCCTCTTGTCTCACCAGCCTCAGGGACGCGGGGGGGGGGGGGGGGGGGGACAGCAAAAGATCTCCCCTCTTAGCCCGTCCGTTTCTTGACCTTGAGTTCAAGGGCTATTCCTGATCAGGATCAATCCCGTTAAGTGCGGAGAACTGGACGGTTCTCCACCCCGTGCCGGGGACGACGCGCCTGCGTCTACAGCAGGCTGCGATCTCGGGGCTCGGGTGTGGGTGCAGATGTTTCCCCGTCCCTGGGGGCCGTTCCCGGGAGACGCCATGCCCGCCTCCACCCCCAGAGCATCCCTCCCCCCCGCCAGCCCCAGGGAGCGGGACACAGACCAGCCGGCAGCACGTGGCGTGGTGTTTCAGAGGTTCGCTGACCCTTCCCTGGGGGTCGCTGGCCCCCCTGGGGATCCTCCGGTTTCCCCAGCCA